GGGGGGGGGGAAATGAAACGCGAAGAAGAATTTGAAAAATAAATAAAAGCAGTTTTGCTTTTGCAAAATGCTACGTGAAGTGAACAAATAAAAAATTCCATTTACCAAAAATTAATATAATACAGAAGACAGTTTAATTTAATTATATATAATTTTCATTTTTCACTTTTCCTTCTTATATTTTTCATGACTTTGTTCAAATACTAAAATTATTGAAGATTAAAATATCAATGAAATTAGACCGCATAAGGTTAAAAAAGATTTTCAATATAGTAATAAAGAATACTCTCACTTATTCAAAATCGACAAGTAATTGTTCAAATAATGCAAATTCATTGAATTTCGATAAAAAAAAAACTTACGAATTAGTCATTTTGACCACTTAGCAGTTAATAAAATACATTTAATATTACATTTTACAATAGTATCTCTTAAATTTAATAGTAAATTTTATAGTTTTATCAATGGTACATTTAACTGGTTCAAATTTCAATTTTACTCCAATCATATTTGGCCGTTCGTTGTAGAAAAATAATCGTATCACACACACAATCAAGTACTATAATCACCCCTAACACTGTTTTCTTCCACGAAACTCGAAATCGATTTTTCTCTCAATGTTCCCTTACCTGTGGTCGGTTCGTCGAGGAAAAGTATCTTTGGCTTGCTAATCAACTCACTGGCCAAGGAAAGTCGTTTCTTCTGTCCACCGGACAAACTGGATATCAATACGTCTTTGCAATCGAGCAGACCCAGTTCCATCGATAATTTCATTGACAAGAATTTCTTTTGTGCTCTGTTAACATCCATCTTCATCGCGCACTAAATAGACCAACTGATTTGTCGTGAATTACTCTTACGATTCTTGTTGAAATTGAGAGCGACGACTATAATAATTAAGACGATTATAACTAATATTTAAAATTTATTTATATATTTTAATACTTAATATTATAACTAATGTTAAGTATGTAAATATATATTTATTAATATTATATAATTACATATTTAATACCTGTAATTAATAAGACTAATATTTATTTATTTAACTGATCAATTACGAAGTGATTAAATGTCGAGAATATTGATTAATAACAAACGACTAACTTTTCAATATTGACAACTAGTAATTAGTATCTATCTATTTATTGTAATTAATTAAATTAATTACTACGCAAATCAAGTGCCGAAAATGGTAATTAATAACTAACAGCCAATATTCAATATTTATAACGAACGACTAATATTTAATTATTTACAGCTAATTACTGATGTTTAATATCGATGACTATCAACTAACATTTAACATTTATAACTATAATTTAACCAATATTCTTTTTATTTATGTTATAGTCGTCTTCGTCTATCGTAATCGCCAAGTAATTAAATACCGAGAACAATAAGAATTCGTCTACGGTGAGAGAGCTTGGTAAAGCGTCGGACTGTGGTAAATAACTGGATATTTTTGACATAATCGTTCGTGAAACTGTTTCTCCGTTTATTGACACTGTCCCGGTTGCCGATGCAATTTTCCCAGCCAGGGTGGCCAAAAGTGTCGTTTTCCCAGCGCCGCTAGAAAATGAGATTATCGTGATGATTTTTCGGTTTATCAATCTAAATAACTTGGATAAAATATGGTTAATAATTCAATTAAAATTTTGTAAAATTTTAGTCCAATTTAAATTTTGTTAGATGTCAATGGTTTCATATGTTGCTTTGAGCAATTCTTTTCTGTGCATTAATTATTTTACTAATTCTGTATATGTGTAAATTTCTTTCAATATATTCGACAATTAATGACAAAATCAAGGAAAAGAATAAAAGATATTATTTATCTATAGAATGATCTCATTTATCTATCGTTGATTGATTGAATTGATCAACCGTGACTAAATAATCGTAGCTAGTAAATTGTTCATATTACAACTACCAAAAGTCAAAATGATTAATTTATAATGGTTGATAAGGATTTTTATATATTTAAATGTAACTTTGGAGATTGTTGATGATAATTTTTGGTGAATGATGGTAAAATAAATTTTAGCAATTTTTAATACCCAAGTGACTTTTAGTGAAATAAATTTGCATAATTCTAGAGATCTGAATGATTTTAAATAAAATGAACAGAAGCTCGCGTCGATTGTTCTAGTCTTAAACTACGACAACGAATCGCTACTACAATCAGTATTATATCTTCCAATCCGCGATACTAAATGAACTTTTGTATACCTCGGTCCCATTATAGCAACCAGGTTCCCCGTCTCGGCATAACCAGATACTATAATCCACACAACAAACTCAATTAATTTACGAAACTCTCAAAATTGATCAGAGAGAACGCCGATTAAAAATCCTCCACCAGAATTGAGAAGAGAAAAAAAGAAGAAGAAAAATCCTATCACCTGCTTTCAAAATGACCAAATCCTCTTCGTAACGTCGCCCTCGAATCGCCCTCAGCGCAACGTTCAAGAAACCGTTTCTGATTTCCCGTGGAACGGCCACTGTCAAATCGTCCCAGACGATCGTGTTATCCTTCGCGTGTTCTAATTCCTCTGTAATTATCATGTTGGATAGGTCGCGGGGAAAATGCAACGAACTCGGCGCGTAGCGACTCGAATCAATTTCGCGGACTAGCGTTTCGCTTCTTCGTTCAGTGCTTATCGTTGTTATCTAACCGATAAAATCCGGAATGGTGATATATATGTGTGGGTGGTATGTAGACGCGGTAGAAGGCAAACTAATTAAGAGATTAAGTCAGAGGCTGCGAAGCAATGTATCCTTTTTTATTCTGGCGCTCGTTCCACTGTTGTCAGGGTAATATGTTGGTAATAAACGTTTTGATGATAATGCGCGCTTAGAGTGGTGAGTTTTATCGAACGACAAATAAAAGAATGATAACAGCTGATCATTGTTGTTGGTCGTCTCTGTTATTAATTAAATCGAACAATGATTTTTGAATGTGATGTTCTAATATTGTAATTAATTATATTTAATTTAATAATTACTTATTTTAGATATTTATGTTTATAATAATTTAATGTAATAAATACGTAACGTATAATAGGTAATAATATAATAATATAATAATATAATGTATAATAAATATTTTAAATATTTTATATAGCAAGTAATTTAAATACTTTATATTTTATTTTGATATAAGGTATAATTATATAAAGTACTCAAATTGTTTTTATGTAAAGTATAAAGTATTTTTAAAGTATTTTATTACATCTACGAGTACATTAGGTACATAAGGTATATAATTTTGTCGAACTTACTGTACAAATGAGAGAATAGAACGTTAAATAGGTGATAAAACGTTAGAAAATAGGAGAAAGATAGAGTAGTGAGGATACAATAAAATATTAAAATAAATAGAGAATAGAAAATAGCATACTAATTGTAGGTAAATAATAAAACATTAGAGAAGGTACTAGAGAAATAGGAAATTGAATACTAAATAAATAATAAAGAAATGAGAATAGGAAGTAGGAAAAAAATCACTGAATAAATAATAAAACACTGGGAATAAGACAGAAGATAAAACATCAAACAATCGATTAGAAAATTTTAGGGGATCTAATTAAATAATAAAAAAATTGAAAAATAAATTGTGAAATAGAAGAGAGAGTGTTAAGTGTCGAGAAAGTAACGAAACATCGAGGAATAAAATAGAAAATAAAATTTGAAAAATAGAATAAATTAATGGGAGATGAATTGAAAAATGTTATTAAACTTTCCGAATAGAAAGTCAAATAAACCGCTTTATTTTGAGCTAGAAAATCTTGCATAATTAGTAGAGAAACAAATCTGACAATGAA